CAGACACAAAAGAAACCATTGCTTTTAACCTCCTCTTGGAGAGGAGAGAGTCTCCGACCCTGGATCTCAGGTCTTCTATGGAGGGACTGTCAGGAATCCTGTAAGAGCATCCCATCCACAGACCTCTTGCCATAAAAACAAAGCAGAATGTGTGGTGAAGGAACTCCGGGTTGACAGAGCCTTGTCCTTGCTTCAAGCAATGTGCTAACAAGGTGCTGAACAGAGTGATGGTGGCACAAAGGCTAGCGCTTATGACTGCGGATCAGAAGATTCTCGGTTACGGAAACCAATAAACTGTGTATGATAGAGTGCGTAAGTGTATGAGTGGCACTTGTGCAAGCGGAGCAGGGACGTGCCAGCGATCAGAATGAACTGGAGTTTGTGCCAAGACTGGGTTTCAAAAGTGGCAGTTCCCATATGGAAAGGTATAAATAGAAATCGGAGCCTGCTCCAAATGGCCTGGTCAGCTCCAAGCGGGTGAGACTTGAGCTCCAAGTGGGCTGTAAAAACCTCCTGGAGTTTTCATTCATTTAATGTCTGGTACAAGACACTGTGTCCAACCAGTTATGTTTGAATGTCAAACCTACCCCAATCCTTAACCCAACCTCACAGTTTCCTGCTGTGTTTTATCAACCTCCCAACCTACCCCAACTCTTAACCCAACCTCACAGTAACAAACCTCCATGTGGGTTTCATTGATTCCATGTCTCGTAAATGGCACAGAATACAACCTATCGCAGTTTATTAAAATCACACCTACCCCAGCCCTAGGCCCAACCTCACGGTAACCTGCTGTGTTTTATTCAATTTTACTCCTACCCCAACCCTAAACACAACCTCAGAGTAAGCAGTTTATATATTTTTTTTATTTTTATGAATGTCTACTACAGCTACATCAATCGCAAACCCAGCCTACGTGCGGCATAAGTGCCTACCACTTAGAGGTCATCCAGCCAACTTGCAGTGTAATCTCCTCCACTTGTAGGTCTCTGAGCTGCAGCAGCACCTAAGGGCTCTGACACACAGACACAAAAGAAACCATTGCTTTTAACCTCCTCTTGGAGAGGAGAGAGTCTCCGACCCTGGATCTCAGGTCTTCTATGGAGGGACTGTCAGGAATCCTGTAAGAGCATCCCATCCACATGACCTCTTGCCATAAAAACAAAGCAGAATGTGTGGTGAAGGAACTCCGGGTTGACAGAGCCTTGTCCTTGCTTCAAGCAATGTGCTAACAAGGTGCTGAACAGAGTGACGGTGGCACAAAGGTTAGCGCTTATGACTGCGGATCAGGGGCCTCATGTACGAAGACTTGCGTGGAAATCTTACTAAAACATTGCGTACGCACAAAGCTGTAAATGTGCGTACGCAGAAAAAAATTCAGATGTATGAAACACTGCGTATGCCGAATCTCACGCATATTCTTTTGTACATCCGAATGAACGTGAAACTGAGCGCAACATGCACGAGCACAAAACCCCTCCTTGCCTCCTCCCCCGTATGAATATGCTATTGACTATACTAATGGAAAAACCCAACGAAAAAGCAATGGCAAAATCAAGCAAAAAGAGAAACTTTGAACAGAATGTGAAATGGAGGTGCTGCTTTCGGAGGTAGACCGGAGAAAAGCGGTGTTATTTGCAAGTTTGTTCTCCGGAATTAACAACAAAAGAAAAAAATAGAGTGGGAGAGTTTAGCTGATGCAGTTAACACAGTTGGGTCTGAACATCGCACTGAGTGCATTAAAAAAGGATATAGTGTGGTTTATATCTGTAAAATGTTGCAATACCCTTAGCAGTCTCTGTGGCGCACCTCGTAAGACGCATGTGATCATGTATTGACACGTTTGAGCATAAACTCGGCTCAAATCCAGCGTCTGATGAACTCTCTTTTTCTTTTTTTTCCCCCCTACATATCAGATTTTGCCCACTATTTATCATGAGAAAGACAAGTAGGAATCATCAATAAGTTTGTGCATCATATTTGATTTGCACATTTATTGAATGGAAATGTTTCTGTTTCCCGCATGCAAATTCATCTTCAGATAGTATCTTTATAGCAATGTGCGTGCAGTTAATAGCTCAGATTACATTGGGAAAAAGGGCGACCGCTGCAAATTGTGCTTTAATGTTTAGCTGGTCAACTGTATGGTATGGAAACCTTACATACCTACTAGATGAACCCGTCTCATACAGCTGCCATTGCAAGGCTCAGACACTTTGTAGAGAGGAGTTTAATACAACTGCCTCTAGGAGTCGCCAATGGAAATAAAACAGACACGCACAAAAAATGTGCGTACGCCAGCCAGAAAGCTGCCGTGAAGCTGCGCACATTCCCACGTTCAGTTCATTGTTAGTAAATCCAAACGTGAGCCATTCTGAGCGTGAAACCTGGCGTACCCAAAGTTTTTGTGCGTACGCAGCGTTGATACATGAGGCCCCTGGTGTTTTAAACAATGGATTGACTACGTGTATGTAAGATGGAAGTCTTACATAGAAGTCTAAAGAAAGAGAGGGAGAGAGAAAAGAGAGAGAGAGAACGGGACGCAAAAATTCCACCAATATACGGCAACCATTACACAGGAAACACACAAACCAGGTCATAGGTCATGGAGATCTCTCTCTCTCTCCCCATCTGTTCCTATGACTGGAGGTCCAATACAGAGGAGAAGAAGACACCTGTTCTAGTTGTCCTGATATTGCCTATACTATTATAGCTGTTTGATTGATCTGTTTTTGAGTATAATTAATTTTAATGTAATTCCTTTTTGTGTAGAGATAGACTGTGTGTAGTAAAGATATTGCAGCAGAATGTTGATGGAAACAGTCTTGAACCAGCCTGATAACACAGCTGAACGTACAAGAAACTTCCTTGAGTCTTTAACACAGATGGTCTTTTGTGTCTATTGTGTTCCTGGTTTAGCTTTTTACAGGTCGGAGATCAGCTCCTAATAACTTAGGGCGACCTCACCTCTAGGCATCAGGTTGCCATCCATATCTGGAGACAGATACAATGCTTTCTTTGACGCACACATCAAGGCCATCCATATCTGGAAGTAGATACTATGTTTCTTTGACGCATGTATTTAGAATTGACTATTTCTGTTGTAACCAATGAGAACTGTTTACCTGGATCCCACCCTTTCTGGACTTGTGTAAATATAATAGTTCGATTGTTGAAACTGTAAGCAGAGCGGCCTAGGAACTCATTGCGGGTGTTAAAGCTGGCTTCTGCGAATGAAACTGCAAACTATTTTCAGTAAACTTAATTAATTTTTTTAAATCTCTGACTCCGGCTCTTCTTCATCAACCAGACTGGTCATTCTTTGGGTTAAACTGTAAACTATCCCTACAGTCAATAATAAATACCCTGAGCATAATGGTACGAGGCGTGGGCCTGCCCTGCATGGCAACTGCTCATTTGAAGGCCATTGGGATGGACCAAACCAGATCACTTAAAAACCTCTCGTAACAGTAAAACTTTGCATTTTGCATTCTGCTGCTCTCTCCCCCCTCTCGCCTTGCTCTTGGACACTGCAGCGCCATGCAACCTCTTAAAGTTTAAGAACTGCCGAAACTGCAAAAAACTTCAGCAAACCGACTTTCAGCAGAGTCTGTCACCCCGGTAATCCAGGACAACTCCCACTTACAAGCGAGTGAATCCTTAGGACGTCACTGAAGCTAAGTCACCAACCAATCAGCAATGCCATGTTTCGTTGAGCCCAGTCGGCGAAGGAAACTCAAACAGATGTTGTCTCTTGCTGATCTGGTGCAAATTGATCTTAAGCAGTTAAAGATAAGCCAAATCTCTGCTTTTAGGGTTTCCCAGGTGTGATTGTAAGATGTAGTAAGAAGACCTAAAATTAATTTGGGACCATTGTCAACACATTTTGCACAAGCACCAGAATTAAGAACCACTGCTCTAAGGCTTCATCTTGGTTTATAGTTGAACAAGCCATCCTACTTCCCTTCCACCACTAAAATTTCTATCTGTATATCTATTTATATATGTATTCATTTTATTTTTTAAAGGTGTTAGTTTTTAGGCTGATCTCAAAACATAATAATTTTTACTGACAGAATTGTAGGTGCAGGCTAGGACGGTCTCTGTTATTTGCAGATAACATTGTGCTTTTGGCTTCATAGGACATGGAACTTCAGCATGCATGGTTTGCTGCATTATCGTGTGCTGCTAAGTGTGACATGGCAGGAAAAAGAAACAGCATCTCTAAGTCAAAACCATGGTGCTTGACTGGAAAAAGGTGCCCATCTCCAGTTTGTAGGAGAGTCCTTACCCCAAATGGAGTTTAAGTATTTGCATTAATTTATTTTTTCTTCATGTGGAATGGAATGTGAGATTAAAAGATGGATCAGTGCAGTGGCAGCAGTAATGCAGTTGATGTGATTGTCTGTTGTGGTGAAGGAGCTGAGATGAAAGGCAAAGTTCTCAATTTACCACTCAATCTAGGTTCCTACTCTCACCTATGGTCATGACTGAAAGGACAAGATCTCGGATACAACCGGACACATTTTACAAAGTGTTTTGACCCGCTTGTTTGAGTTGCAACATAAAAGAGAGATGAGCCAACAAAGTAGCCTAAATGCAAATTATTTATAATAAAATGTAACTCACAGAACAATCAAAGCAACCAACAAATGTCTAGGGATAATAATGAAGATAAAGAACTTAGGATATAATCACAACACTTTAACTACATGATAAAAGTAATGCAATACAAAACCATAAGGTTTAAGAGTCAATGAGATGGCAGGTCTTGACATGAGGACTTCAGAGTAGCAACAGCTTTCTGGGGTAGCTAGCGGAGTCCATGTGAATGGTTTCTCTCCAGTGTGGGTCTTCATGTGTTTATTAAGGTCTGATGAGTTACTGAAACTCATCCCACATCGAAGCTGCGGTCACACTAGAGTTTGAGCATGAGAAAAGGGGCGGGATTAAACAAGATGATTCGACATGAATGGTTTCTCTCCAGTGTGGCTCATGATGTGTCGATTAAGGGATGATGATTGGCGGAAAATCTTTCCACACTGAGTGCATGTGAATGGTTTCTCTCCAGTGTGGATTTTCATGTGTTTATTAAGGTGTGACGATTGGTTGAAACTCTTCCCACACTGGGTGCATGTGAATGGTTTCTCTCTAGTGTGGATCCTTATGTGTTTATTAAGGTATGATGATTGGTTGAAACTCTTCCCACACTGAGAGCATGTGAATGGTTTCTCTCCAGTGTGGATTTTCATGTGATTGTTAAGGTGTGATGATCGGTTGAAACTCCTTCCACACTGAGTGCATGTGAATGGTTGCTCTCCAGTGTGGATCCTCATGTGAATCTTAAGATGGCCTTTTCTTCCAAAACTCTTTCCACATTGAGTGCAGGTGAAACGATTCTTGTCTCTCCTTTTCAAAATACCATCAGACTGTAAATGAGTTTTTTCCTCAATTTTGACATGATGTTCCTCCTCTTTACTCCCCTCATTCTCTTCAATTCGGTCTGAAATAAATAAATAAATAAATAAATAAAATAAGTTTTCATTAAGTCTCAAAATTTCTCATTAAAAGCTGAAAAGTGAAAAGACACTGGAAACATTGGCTACACACACTGTAATTTTGATGCACATTAAATGTAATATAAATCAGATTATATTTTGTTTGGTCCATTAACGTGTACACATTTAAGCAGATTCAATTCATCTTTATTTATCTAGTGCTTTTACAATGTAAATTGTGTCAAAGCCGCTTAACATAGAAGTTATATTATATGGACTCTATGCACGAACTCTGCTGACGTGGTTCTGGTAGAATATCAGTCAGGCTCTTTACGTCTACATAGCGCGCTCTACGCCGAAATCTAATAGCGGCGAAACCTAAATCCAGAGGATGGCAAAGAAGGGAAATTTACTCTTAAATTGATGATGATGACAAACACACACACACACACACACACCAAATATTCTAGTCTCATGTAATAGGCAAATACCAAACTGAAACAAATGTATCAAGCACGAGTATTTATATGCAAAACCTAATCAAAGTACCCATTGGGTCTTAAAAGCATTTATAAAAGTCTAAAATTTGATAATCTCAAATTAAGGCCTTAATAGCCTTGAATTATTATACAAAGTCTTGGGTTTTGTTACAAAGGTCTTATTTTAATAATTTGTATTACCTTTCTTAGAATTAAGTTCATATCATAACCAAATTAACTGTAACTAATGTAAGCTAACTAAAAAATCATGCAGCGCAACGTTGAGTGCATCTCACGTAATAGCAGAAAGCACGCACACCCATTACTATGGTTACTTGAGGTGATGTACAGAACAAGATAGTTGCTAGCCTAGTTTGTGGGTTTGTTTAATCCGCTTTGGCCATGGAATCTGAATTACATTTGGGTCAATCCTGGGCCAGGAAATAACCGCGACACCTACTGCTGTTGTTGTCGGAAATCTTTTAAGCTAGCAACGATGGATGTTACAGCCCTGGACTCCCATATAAGGGGTGCCAAACACACCGTGTGTAGTACTGCTCATCAGCGCAACCACCTATTGTGGAGTTCTGTGCACTGGAGACCACTTCGGTTACTAAAACACCTTTGGCTATCAGTAATGAGGAAATTTCTACATTAGAAGCATTGAAACCACGGAGTGTTGGGCAGTAGCATCGCTACAAGTAGTGACGCTACTAGCGTAACTATATTTCTCAGTAGCGTCACTACTTTCTAAATCAAATAGCTTTTGTGTAGCAAAGCTATTATTTTAGACAAGTAGTGTCCACACAAGCTACATATACCGATTGGGGATCAATAAGTGACGTCACTGACACTCACGTAGCTTGGAGGCCGGTGTCTAGCCGATAAAAGTAAATCCATATTTTGGCGAGAATGTCAATTTCTTCTTTCTGTTTTACAATGGTCGACAACAAACTTTTTGTGCATTACAGCCACCTCTAGCTCTGGTTGGTGACGTCGCCAAACAATCATTGGGCTGACACGAGAAGCTTGATTGAAAGATGAATGAGTGATATATATATATATATATATATATATATATATATATATATATATATATATAGAGAGAGAGAGAGAGAGAGAGAGAGAGAGAGAGAGATAGTTTACTGTACTAAAGGCTAAAGTATACAATGGCAATTTTAGTTCATGATAGTTATTAATGATACTATATTTTGTAGTGTAATTCATTAATGAAGAGTTGTTACATATTGAGTAACAGTATTTTTGACAATGCTAGTGTGTATTGTTCCTGTGTGTGTTTCCTCCATTATCTATCTCTTTCTCTCTCTCTCCACATGAGCGGAGATCAGGTGCAGCTGTGAGAGGGGCGGCGCCAGCTATAAAGGCACGCCGTTGACGCTCCTCATCGAGTTCTCATCCTGTTTCCCCTCGCTATTGTGTGTGTCTGAGCAGTTCGCTCTGAGTTCTCTGTGTGGCAGTGATCTGTCTGAAACCTTTTTTTTTTCATAGTAATCTGGTGAGATACTCTGTTAAATACGGTAATAGGACGGTAACCTCCATTAGCGGTGGCTGATTGTGTAATACCTTTCTCCAACCCTGTTTCAAAGTCATCTGGTGAGATACTCTGTTAAATACGGTACTAGGACGGTATCATGTGTTAGCTGTGGCTAATATGTACCTTAAGGCTAAATGATCAAAGGGAAGGCCCTTTTTCTTTTGTCCAGTTTTCTCCTGTTTTGTGGCTGGTTATGGAGGTTAGAATTGCATGCTTCATTTATGGAACTTTATGTTTAGTATAGGTAAGAGGTTTAATATTAGGTAGCGTACCTTGTTTTGTTTGTTGTTTTGGCCTTTTTGTTCCCCGATTCTGATTTTGACCTTTTTGTTGAATTAATCTGATACCCCTTTTTGACAACTTGGCCTGTGTGTGTGTGCTTGGGGAGCAGGAACAGGGACTCCGGGTGACCACTTTTTATAGCGGTCATCCTTAAATTTATGTGCGTAGCAGGGTGCATCCGCTATGTAACATAATTGGGGGCTCGTCCTAAACTTCGTGTAAAAACTCATCTCCCTTTTGTTTGTCTGCGCATCAAATTGGGTGAGTAAAACTTTTCTCTCTTTACATCGTGTCGTGATTTGGGTTAAAACTTTGGGTGAGGGGGAGGAAATATGAAAGCTGATGTGAAAGCTTTTATTGATTCTCCGTGGTTAGAGCGATTAAATTGATTTCGAAAAAAAGATTTGCTGCAAGTGGCAGAAATCTATAAAATATCTGTTTCTTCTGGTGCAGCGAAAGCTGAAATTAAAGCCGAACTTCTCTCTGAACTGACATCGCAAGGCGTCTTTTCAGAGGAGCTTGAAGCCGCTGCTTCCCCTGCAGCAGATTATGACGTGAATGTGGCACTGAAGTTAAAGGAACTCGAGTTAAAAATTAAACAGCAAGAATATGAGACTCACTTATTACGTATTCGCGAATTAGAACTACGCCAGGAAGCGAGAGAAGTACAAGCTGCTGAGAGTAGTCGTTTCGATCCCAGTCGATATATGAAACTCGTTCCTCAATTTAGAGAGTCGGAGGTGGACGCTTATTTTATTGCTTTCGAGAGAGTGGCAGGCAAATTGGGCTGGCTAAAAGAAATGTGGGCGATTATGCTGCAGAGCAGTTTTGTGGGCAAGGCGCAGGAGGTGTGCTCCGCGTTGTCCATGCAAGATTCGTTCAAATATGACGTGGTTAAAGCTGCTGTATTGAAGGCATACGAATTAGTGCCAGAGGCATATAGGTAGAAGTTCAGGGGCCATATTAAAAAAGCTCAACAAACCTTTTTAGAGTTTGCTCATGATAAAAAGACCATGTTAGAAAAATGGTGCACGGCATCTGAGGTTACAACTTTTGAAGGTCTCCAAGAATTAATTTTGTTGGAGGACTTCAAAAATGGTTTACCTGAGAATATGGTTTTATATTTGAACGAACAAAAAGTCACTACCCTGTCTAAAGCCGCTACACTGGCCGATGGTCATTCCTGCAGCCCGCCCGCATCGAAATTTTAAAGTGGATAGTGAGAGAGATTTCACAAATACGTGTCCCGTGAAGCCAGAGACTGCCCGCACGCGAGCACCTGCGGGTGCAGTGAATAGTCGTACAGAAAAACGACTTTGTTTTTATTGCCTTGATCCGAATCATTTTATTGCGGAGTGCAAGGCATGGAAATTAAAGAATGCGTCCGGTAAAACTAAAAGTGTCGCACATGCAGTAATTGAACCTCGAATGATGGAGGCTGAGAACACTGGGCTGCACAATGATGTCTTCAAGCCTTTTCTGCTAGAGGGCTCGGTTTCCACGTCTCCAGGGGAGACCGTGAAAGCCGTATCCATCTTGCGGGACACTGGTGCCACCCACTCCTTCATTCAGGAGAACATTCTGCATTTGTCGGAGAGGACTTATACTGGTTCAGATGTTTTAATTCGCGGAATTGAACTGGGTTGTGTAAGAATTCCGGTTTATTCTGTGTTTTTAAATCTGCACTTGTTGCTGGAGTAGTTAAAGTCGGGGTGTGCGCACAATTTTCCGTTAAAGGAGTAGATTTTATTCTGGGGAACGATTTGGCCGGAGGTAGTGTTTTCCCCTGTCCAATTGTGTCCGATTGTCCTGATAATAATGATGCTGAGGTAACCGACACGTCTAAATTTTTCCCAGCCTGTGCGATTACATGCTCGCAGTCACGCAAATTTGAAGATACTGTTGATTTGTCTGATTCGTTTCTGCTGCGCTCGGATCCTACCGAGCTCGTTCTGTCAGTGGATGACAAGGTGGTGAATGAAAATGAAATAAAATTGGACAATCAAATTGTTAAATTGGTCGGAAACAATTAAGTGAAGCACAAAAATCTGACCGGTCATTGTCTTATTGTGTTGACTCTATTGTCAAAACCGAGTCTGAGTTAGACGGAGTTAGAATTGGATACTTCTGGGATGTTGATATTCTGATGCGTAAGTGGACATCAGCGTCTGTGGTTGATTCAGACACACTGCCCATCTATCAAATTGTGTTGCCAACCTGTTATCGGTCGGCAGTGTTGAAATTAGCGCATGACCACGTCATGGCAGGAGACTTTGGTGTTAATAAAACTTTTGGTCGCATCACTAAGTATTTCTTTTGGCCTAGTCTAAGATCAAGTGTTGGGAATTACTGTCGTTCATGTCATGCGTGTCAGGTCGCCGGGAAGCCTAATCAAGTCGTGCGGCCGGCTCCCTTGCACCCTATACCAGTGATGGGTAAGCCCTTTGAGCGTTTGATTTTGGATTTTGTTGGTCCCCTTCCAAAACCTAAACAGGGTTATCAGTACATTTTAACTCTAATGTGCGCGGTCACTAGATTTCCCGAAGCTGTACCTTTACGCAACAATAAAACTCA